TACATAGATGGAATGGACTGGACTTCGGTTGGCTGGATCGTATGGATCGTAGAAGTTTTTTACACCTAAAACAAATCAATCACAGTACTGTGTTTAGACTGCTATTGTTAGTTAATTCATTTAGTCTGCTTTTTACTATCAGATAAACACAGATGTGTCAGACCAATCTAGCTGCTCAAGTTCTTCAGATGAAGTTGCAGCAACTAAAAAGGTGTTGTCAAAAGGTAATAAATTAATAGACATTAATTCCTCATTTGTCAAATTTGAAAGAGCTAGCAGAAAAGAAGATTTAAGCTAAAAAAATGAGGCAAATTGTCAGAGACTAAATGTCTTAAAATAGTAACATATTCTTCACCTGTTGRGGTAGGCTAAAGTTCGATGGGAATTTCTGGTCTCTTATTTGTGAAGCTAGAGTTATGAATACTTCCTGGAGATAATTATTRATATTATTGCATGCATGAGAAACGGTCAAATTTATGTTTCAAAACATCATGTCTCTTTGTAAACTCCTTTGCAGCCGTTCTTAGTGTCGGTCCAAACGTTTTTCGGACCAACCCGACACTAAGAACAGCTGCAAAGAAGACTAGTATCTGAGCATGAGAGACATGACCAAATGCCCAGGTATTAGTTCAAATGTAAAGTGTATAAGCCTTGCTTAGTCAGACTGCACTTGTTGCAAAAATACTCAACTCTACTTAATTGACTGTAATGATCTGATAGACTTACATCATCCATTGCCAAGGCAGTTGCTTGATCACTTTTCCTATGAACTCTGCAGCATGGAGGCCACATTTAAAGATAGGACCTCAATCATGATTAGCTAATTTGTATGAAATTTTTTCTGGGTGGCCTTGGTTGGTGTGGTTGCACTGTATTAATGAGTAAAACGTTTTGTCCTTGTCAGGTCCCATCCTTGGTCTGTTCTTGAAAGTTTTCAAATTTTTTAAAACTATAAAACAAATGGTGATAAACAATGCTTCCATGAAAACTGGACTGTTAAGCTGTGCACGTCTTGTGGTGTTGGCCTTCTTCTTGTATATTATTTTTTTAAGAACTTATTTGCCTGGTGGTGAGTATAAGTTGCACATAACAGACCCTTTGCAAAACTGCAGCCACAAATTTAAAATTATGAGTTAAAATTACAGAGTGCAAAACTGTAAAGTGATGCTCAATTAAGCTTATGCGATCATCAGTATTGTATTACTGCAGCTCATTGTATGAACAGCGCATACGATAAATAATGGTAATTGAACTGAGTGGAGTGCAATTTGGTCTGAAATCAAACGCGCGATTACAAAATCGCACTCCCGCTACGCGGTCGTGCGATTTGTAATTGCAAGTTTGATTTCAGACCAAAATTGCACGACACGAAGTTCAATTACCACTTTATTATATCCATTTTGAAATCTTTTTTGAAAAAGACGTTTTTTCCAGTTAAACCGATATGACTTACAATCTACAAGCAGTCGATTCAAATGTGCTGTCAAGAAAACTTGTTTATACTGATCGAGCAAYGATTCTCATTTTGAAAACCAACACTTTTAATCCAAAACTAAAATGAATTTATATAGGACCAAAAGGCATTACATGTATTAAGAATCGTTTACTTACATTAAATAGCAAAACAATCCTGCCCAAAAGGGTTGTAATGAACTGGCTGTTGTCCATACAGCCAATGCTCACTGCTTGTATTTTACGATTTCTGTTCAACATGTTAAGATCACACTTGTGCCGAGAAAACAGCAAAAATCAAAGGTTGTTTAGTCCTTCGGTTGTCCTTAAGAAGTCACGTAGCTCAGCAAAAATCTTCTTCTTAAGAAAAATTTCTTTTAATGACTATTTTCGTCGATGTGTTGTTATGCTTTACAGATTGAAAGGAAACCACTTTCCACGATCAATCGCCAAGAAGTC